CGGCGCGGGGCTCCGGCACCGGGGGCTGCCGCACGCCCGCTTGTCCCCGCTGTGCCCGGGAAGGCGCCGCCACCGCCCCCCGCCAAGCGAGGGAGAACCGGCGGCGATCTCCCGGGCCGGGCTGCGGCTCCGCTCGGCTCCTCCGGGGCTGGGCTGCGGCTCCGCTCGGGTCCCCCGGGACGGTGCCAGCTCCGAGTCCGGCCCGGCCGCCTCAGCCCTTCTGTGCCGGGACGGCGGCTCCCGGTAACGCGGGGACCGGCCGTGCAGCATCCGCATCATGTCAGCGTTTTGTGGGAGGGCGGGAGGCTTAAGTCCGTTTGTCTCAATAGAGTGAAAAGAAATGCGAGAGGAGCCCTCCTGTAATGCAGCACAGCTCGGAGTTTGCATTTGGTTCTGATTTCATGTCTCCACTGTGGCAAAAGGATCAGCGTCTTTGATCCGCTCCTTTCCCGTTCCCTTCATCATGAGATCTGGAGGGAAAAAGGGTGCTCAATTAATACCTGATTTTCCTTGGGATAAACAGCATGAGATATTATAGCATAATCTGTTTGCCTCTTATTGAACAGTTTTTTGAATGTGTGTGTGTGGTGCCTTGTATTGCCGTAACAAAAGGGATGGGGGTGGGGGAAAGGAAGGGAATACTGCATTTAGAGCTGCATCTTGGAAAGTCAGACTGCCTTATTTTGCCTCAGCTGGCAGTCTGTGCTTTCAGATTTATGTACTTTGCATCCTCAGTGTCATTTTGGTGCTTGTTGCATGCTAGTGAGGACATACAAGAAAGCAAATTTAAATAAAGACAAGAGATTAACGTGCATAGTACAGAGATAATGTGCATTGCAGTGATGTTTAAGAAAAGTCTGAAATTACTGTGACTAGTTTGAAAAATGCAAGTAGTGTTTTCAGTTGCATTACCTGACCAAGGCCACACTATAATCTCTCAGAAGGGGCTGAGAAATCTGTTTGCAGAAAAGATATTTATCTATTATGTCTGTTACCAAAGAATCCCTCATTACTTAATGAGTAGAACTGAAAAAGAGAAACAACTGCTGTCATAGTTTTTTTGTGGTTCTGTGTAAGCCATGGTATTTCCAATATAACATAGTTTAAAAGGGGAGGAATTCTAGTGTAAGTCCTTATTGCCACTTAAGGTAAAATACAGTATGTGCAGGTTATGTGTTTGAGAAGCAAAAGATTGACATTTACGTTAAAACATAAATGGCAATTTATCATTTTATTATCCTGATTCTTCTCCATATGGGACAGACAAGAGGGTAGAGCTTTTCTTTCATATGTAGTTCTGTGAGAACTAAACTGCCAAAGTCGAAGCTGCTGTCCTTAGAACACTTTGGGATCATAGGATTTGTGCTACAGAACTGTCCTTATAACCCTGATTGTCAGAGTTTCTATATTCTCTGATAGTTTAGCCCTTATCTCTACTTGGAAATATCTGAAGCTATTTTTAAAAATGCATCAGCAGCTACATTATTGCTCCCTCTTGGTCCCTTGATAGTAGTATTCTTGCAAAGGCCATAGATGCTCAGCTTTTTTGGTCAAAGTATTAGAGTTCTAAGGAGAAATCTCTAAAAGCATGTTTTGTGCAGTTACTTGATTAATGCCAGTTCAGGCTGGGGACTGGACATGAATTTAAACAAGCTAGGTCTTTAAAGAGTGACCTTCGCTTAAGGCTGTGAGCACAAGAAACCACTTCAAGAAGCATAATTTTACCATCTCTCCAGCTTGTTCTGATAAGAATATTTGCTAGGAAATAATTTGTGAAAGTACCATGGTTTAAACATCTTTCAGTTAATTTTCCTGTGCTGAGGGTGGAGAAATAAGAGCAAGTGACCTGTTCCAAGCTACCAGCTCACAGAGAGGCATATGGTGGATTCTGGTTCAGAACAAATCTTGATTGTAGCCTTTGAACACATCAGGGTTTAGGTGCTTCTGCAGACTTTTATATCCTTTTCCCTTGTAATCTATGTTTAAATAAACAAGGGAATTATTTCATGCTTTAGGCAGTGCAGTGGTAGAGACTGAGGAGCAGCCCTGCCAAAAAGGCTCAGAGGGCCTGGTGAACAGCAAACTGGACGTAAACCAGCCACATCCGCTGGCAACAAAGACAGCCAGGAGCATCCTGGTCTCTATGAACAATAGTGCAGCCAGGACATCAAGGGAAGTGATTATTCCCTTCTGCTCAGCACCCAGTAGGTCACATTTATAACACTGTGTCCAGTTTTGGAAGTTATTAAAGACCTGGAGTTCAGCAGAGGCCACTGAAGTGGTTGGGGCTGGAGGATGAGCTCTGAGCAGAGGGTGAGAGAGTGGGGCCTGATCAGCCTGCAGAAATAGAGGCTATGGGGGGACCTAACAGCAGCCTTCCAGTCCTTGTAAAAAGCTCCCCAGGGAACCAGAGCCAGACTCAACACAGTGGCATGTGCCAGAGAATGAGAGACAAAAGGCCAAAACAGAGGTTCAGACTGGATACAAACAATATACTTTGCCCCACAAGGATAATCACACATGGAGACAGGTAGCCCAGGGAGATTGTATGGTCTCTGTTCTTGAAGGTTTTAAAGACCAGACTCAATAATTCCCTCAGCAAACTGATCAGGGCTCATTGATGACCTTGGTTTGAGCAGAATGCTGGACAAGAGATCTCTGACATTCTTAACAGCCTGAAGCGTTATGATCCTACTGATCACTCTTAACACCTGTTATGTTTGTGCCTACCCATACGTGATGCAAGAAGCAGACATGTTTCCAGAAGTCAGATTTTTTAAGAAAGTTTAGAGTTTCCATTCTAGGACTAATCCAGGCATCTTGGCAAAGATGGAACACAGTATGATACATTAACCTCTATTACCTGTGAAACAGAACATTACATTAACACAAACTAATACCTTACTATAAACCTCCCAAGGAAGAGATATTTGCTTGAAATAAACAAAAAGAAGTGCACACTTGCAAGCAAGAGCTTTTACTAGGAGGTATCTTTTGGCACTACTGTGATGCAATTAAAGGCTTGCAACATTTGTGCAAGAGATGTAATGGTAGTTGTTACATTTAGAGAAAATAAAGCACTGATGCAGTCACATGAGCTTCACAAGTTGAGAGGAAGAACTGAAAGCAGAATCAGAATTCACCGATTTTTTAGACACTCAAAAAACCTGCAGTTGCTGAGTCAAATGCTCATTATAAGTACTTGCGAATGCTTTTAGTCTGCTGGTAAGAGTATTACATGTATGATTTTTTTTTTTTCTGAGGACCCATGAGAGCTGCATGAAAAGCATCTCAAGACAGCACCATGTGATTGGTGAAGTGTTTAGTGCTTTAGGCTTTTGCTGTCTGCAGGAGCTGAACATGCACCACTTAAGCTTTGTCATAGCATCCATGAGAAGAGGACTTCCATTCAAATTCTCAGTTTTGTTTGAAGGTCTTAGGTCTTATCTTGGCTAACAATACTATTTTTTGGAAGGAAGGCCTTTCACAGCTGGTAAAAAATGTATGGATTTAACTGTTTATTTCTGATGTTGGTAGGCAAATGCACTGTCACTTGAGTACATGACATTTCCCTCCTTTTTTATTGCAGTACTTACTGTCTTCATTCACATGCTGCAGCAGAGGAAGGTGATTTGCACTTCAAGAGGAGTAAATTAGAGCTGAGGAAAGACTGGTATGGAAAACTCTGGGATTAATAGGTGCTTCCACCTAAACTAAAGAGGAAGAACTAGAAGCCCTGTAGGTAGGGATGACAAGGAAAAAATGTTGTTGTTCTCAGATAAGGTTTTGTGAAATAATGCTGGAGATGCATACTCTGAAGTATATTCATGCATGAAGGGATCATTTTCTTTTGAAATAGAAGGAAATGAAGAGGAAAGGAAAGTTGGCAAAGTTGACAAAATATACGTCAGTTATAACAATGAGAGGTTTGCAGTCTAGATAAGGATTTTCAAATAATACTTCTGCAATGCAGACATCCACTGATACCAACCCGGGCTTCCAGTGGGAGCTGCATGAGGAGTATCTTGGGATAGTTGTCTGGTTTGAATTATTAAGATGAAGTTTCCTTCAGAAAAGAGTCCTCCTAGGAGGAATTACAGGCTTAATAATGAAGATTCAGCTACATAGAAATTTGTTATTTCTTTGTTCCTTATAAGGCAGATTGAATACTTCCATTCTATTAATTGAATGGAGTTTTTGAACTTTGTTTTGTGCATTGATATTAGGAATATTTGCGAGCATATCACCAGTTTGCATTATTTCCAGATTGCTGTCGTACCCTTTACTTTCTGAGAGATGCTTTTCACAGATGCACTTCTCAGCTACAACCTTTGCATAAGTTCCACTTCCCAAGTCAATTGTGCAGTAACCCTAATCATTTTGCAGAGGATTTGGAAATCCATTTTATTTCTGAAATATTCTCCAAGAGAGACCTGACCTTGCAAGTTTTTCTTGTGTATATATTCTACCTTTTTGTCACGTGTTCACAGGATCTGACCCTTGAAGATTTAGTGTAAGATTTATTTTATTTATTAATTTAATGAAGATTAAGTGTAAGAAAGAAAGATTTAGAAGTCTTTCACCTGAGTACAGAGGTTAGAGGTAGCTAAGAATTCATAATGTGCTCATAGCAGGTACGTTTACTTCTTTCTATCTTGAATGTACAAAACCAGCAACATGCAGCTCACCCAAATACAGTTCTGTAACACTGACCACGAGTGTTCTGGTGAGGGTGCAAGCCTAGATTTGACCACTGGTGTCCAAAATGCCAAGGGACGTTATGTAACATGGGAATGTGTGGTGAGAAGCACAACTTCCATAGGGACTGCACCAAACTAAGCAGTATTGTAAGAACCTTGGAGAAGAGAAGGAGTAGCTGTGTTTGGCATTCACTGTTCAGGTTCAGTGAAGTAGCTGATCTTTATGGGAAGAATAATAAAGAAAATATTCCCTCAATGCCATCCACAACTTTACTGCCTTCATCCATTACCCAGAAACAAAGGTGCTTGGGTGGACTCTGTCACCCAGTGTGCTCTTCAAGATCAGAAGAACAGAAGTGTTAGTTAACTGTGACTTTTCCTGCTCCAGCAACATGGTAAAATGTGCCTGAGTTACCGAATTAACTGAAGAGAATGAGTGTTGCACAGACCAGATTCTGTTCAAGAGTGACATAGGATTTTAATTTTTTTTCCCAATTGCCAAGAGTGAAATGGTATCAATAAATTGACATTCCTCTCAAGAATCGCTGATACAAGCTACCACAAAAAATTATTTCAGTGCAAGGGCAAGTGCACCCTTTTGGTTTAGTCAAATCTTAAAATAAATCTCAAAACTCATGTTCTGAAAGCTGAGAGATGCCTTTTCAACACATCAAGGGGAGTGTATGGAGGTGGAATTGCATGTTTCTCATGCCAGAAGCAAGATTGCTTCAGAGCTGCTATGCTCCTCAAATCCACATCAAATCTCTCGC